ATTGATTAAAAACTATCATCTCAAATTTGCCTAAAATTATGTTCTTTTTGATTAATGATAAAATATTAATTTAAGATTATATTTTATTTCCCTGGAGATTTAATTTTTGGTTGGGTTGGGTTGTTTGGGTTTGGTTTGGTTGGGTTTGGTTACAATCTTGTTATAAAATTTATATTGTCTATTTTAACACATATCATAAAATAATAATTATTATGTGATTTATCTTGTAGTTTTATATTTTATGATTTTAATATGAAATAAATTTCTAGTAAATTGATACATATTAAAATAATTAATACAATATAACAATGCTTTCTTAAAAATAATAAGAACTGACCAAATTTAAAATGGTGAGTAACTCATTAAACTATTTTCAGTATAACAACAATATTAATTTTATAAACCTACCAACTAGAAATGTAATAAACAATAATCACAATAAAAATTATTCCCCAGGGGAAACACAACCATTGTGTTATGGGTTTAGCTAACCCGAGGCCCAGAGCTCCTCCACTTCAAGGTATGGAGAGTTGACATCATTTTGGGACGGGGAATGCAGTCCATAAGAGCTATAAATCTTGTGTACGTGAATTTAATCTAATATCCGAACTTGCACGATACGATTGAGAACTAAACCTAAAGAGATATGCCTAATTAATATACATGCACCAACGGAAAATAGTTATGAAATAGATAAATATGAATTTTATGAAGAAGTAACTAGAACTTACGATAGACTACCTGGAAGCGTAGTAAAAATTGTGCTAGGCAATACAAACGCAAAAATTGGGGAAAGAACAAATGTTTGTGCCTACTATTGGACTTGAAAGTGCACACGAAGAGAGCAATAAAAATGGTCAGAGAGTAATTTCATTTGCAGCATCTAGAAGTTTGATAGTCAGTCGCACTAGTTTTCCTCACAAGAACATACACAAATATACCTGGAAGTCTCCAGAAAGACGGACTATGAATCAAATCGACAACATATATTGATTGAAAAAAGGTATAGATCAAGTATATCAGATGTAAGAAGTTACAGAGGAGCAGACTGTGATACCGACCACTTTGGTAATATGCAAGTTTCGTCTCAAACTACAAAGAATGAGTAGAAATTTACAAAAAGCACCAAAAATCAACATAGAAGAGCTAAAAGATGAAGAAAGAAGACAAAAATATATCACTGAGATCACAGGCAAATTAAAGGAGAAACAATAAACAAATGAGAGAGAATTAAACTGGAGTATCTTAAAAAGACCATACTTGAAGTGGCTCACAGCACACAAGGCGAACAGAAAAAACGAGAGAATAAATGGTTTAATAGTAATTGTAGGTAGGCCGTAGAAAAAAGAATCGAAGCACGGCAAAGACACCTCCAGCTTAAGACCTCTATAAGCGAAGAAAACTATGAAGCAGAACTGAGATCATGTAAACGAATCATACAGAAGAAAAAAGGAACTACATGAATGAACTATTATGTGAGACAGAACAAGACCGTACACAAGGTAGAACACGGAATTTTTTCGCAAAGATTAAAAAGTACAAACAATTTAACCCTAATCTAAAAGCTGTCAAGGATATTGATGACAACATTTTAATAGACCCAATTGAGAAAGTAACAAGATGGAAAAACTACTTTGAGGAACTGCTCAATAGTGAAGTACCAATGAGACCAATGCCAGCATGGATAGATCATAGGGCGGAACAAGAGGTAAACGACGTTTCCATACAAGAAATCAAAAAAGCCATCAACAGTCTGAAAAGTTGGAAAGCGCCTGGAATGGACGGAACACCTGCCGAATTAATTAAAAATGGTGAGGAAGCACTACACCAAGTAATATATGAGGTATATCAAAAAATATGGAACGATGAGGAATTACCAGAAAAGTGGAACAAGGCCATCGTGGTACCACTACACAAGAAAGGTGGCAAATTTAATTGTAACAACTATATAGGAATATCACCATTGAACACGACATATAAGGTGTTTTCAAAGATATTACTGGGAGATTACAACCTTTTGTAGATGAGTGTGTGGGGGAGTACCAATGTGGGTTCCGGAAAGGAAAATCAACTATGGATCAGTTATCGGTGCAAAAAATACAAGATCGAGAGGAGTGAAAGGCGGTGTCGGTGGCGGCAAAAACTCTTGAAGAGTTGTAATGCCAAGAAGAAGAGACAATAAAAATAAACCTATTTAATAACTAGGAATTCACTAGTAATTAAAATAAATAAATTATTACTAGAAATAAATATATAAATTTGTAATTGTGATTTTACTGACTATAATGAAAAAGAGGTTTCTTTCTCTTTCATTTTTTTCTTTTAAAATTTCTTAGAGTCTAAGACATTTTAAATAGCTAGAGCAATAATTAAAAATAAACACAACTACATCACTTACAAGTCACTATCACAAAATAAGTTCCTTAAATGAATTGATTATTTCTATATAATATGAAGCTATCTTATATTACCTTTTTTATGCTTACAAAATATTCCAATAATTATTCAACAATAACACAAATCAAATGAAAAACTGACAAAACAGTAAAAGAATTATGCGCACTGCTCAACTGTGACAAGCACCTGTAACAAAACTTAGAACACAATACTACACAAAAACTAAATTGAACAATTAACTATCACAGAAGATTTTGTATGTTAGAATAATTACATAAAAAAGATAGGAATCTTAAATTTAAAATATATGTTCTTAAAACTAAACTTAACAAAAAATAATACCACAGACACACTGAACTCCAAGTTAACACACAAATGTTTTATATCACAAAAAAAGTTTTTTTTAACCAATGTTACATGGACAGGGAAAGGAAGGGAGAATAAGTTCAGTTCAGCCATGTAGGTAAAACTGCGTGTAGGTGCTAAAGTTGCGACTAGAGCGCGAAACCTAATTGATCTTAAGCTAAACAGACATATAAATATATATTTGTATATAAATTGATTGATGAAATTGTACAAAAAATGTATGTTTAAATTAAATGCTAATGCCAATTTTAAGTTGATAAAGTAACAACACATTTAAAAGATAAAGATGCTGACATTGAATATTCATCTACGTATGAAAAATTATGTAATACAGAAAATGAAGAATTTGTAGACTATTCATTTAAAACCAAAAAAAATGCACAAAAGATGTACTACATCATGGTTGATAGTCATTAAGTTTGACAAAGGTTTAGTGATAGATGGAAATTCAGCCAATATACTTGCATATGGATGGTCAAAGTGAACGGTTTTAACAACAAAATCTGGAAATTTAATTATTGAGCATTGTTTAGATAGGTTCGTCACACTATCAATTAATTTACTATTTTCTAGATCGATTAGTAAACCAAAATTTTTAATAAAATCTGCCCCTATTAACGGTCTAGTGACATCTGCGATCATAAAACACCATTTAAACGGGCGGCGTAGTCCCAGGTTTAGTTCTACGGTTTTAGAACCATATGTGTTAATTGTAGAGCCGTTAGCTGCATACAGTTTTAGTTCTTTTTTTGTATCAGATTTAGTGGGCGGTATGACTGATATTTCAGCACCACTATTGACTAAGTAGGAGATTTTGTTTGAGATATCAGTAACAAATAGGCGGTTCGAAATTGATGCTGAGTTGGCCACCGCCTCGCTTACTGGTTTTCCGACTTAAGGGTAAAGTGCATCTTGCATCACTCACCTTTGCAAATTCTTTCTCGTTCTTTGAATTTGGCGTGGTAGTAACAGAGTTGGTCTTGTGTTCCTTTGCTTTCACGCGATTTCGATCTGTTGGCAAGGCGGTGGTTAGGACGGTTTTTACCATGGATGCGACTTTGTCTGGTAAGTTCTTGAACTGCTTTGGTAAGTGAAAAGATATGTTGTTCTAATGTTGATTGTGTGTTACTGTCTTTATTACACTTGCATGGTTTTTCTGATGTAACAGAAACTATAGAATGTGTACCATTAACCTCATTTATTTTATCTGCCATTTTTGCCAGTTCAGACAGCGAATCGGTGCTTGATGTAAGTATAGCTTGGGTTTGACTTGGTAGTCGTTGGATCCACAAACTTTTTAAAATGTCCTCTGAAACTCGGTTTCCTCCAAGTTGCTGCATTTCTCGCAGTAGGTATGAAGGTTTTTTATCTCTCAATTCTAAATCTCGGAGCAGTTTATTGAGCTTTTTTTCTTCGGATTCCGAGAGGCGTTCAATAAGTATTTCTTTAAGTTTTAAGTACTTGTTGTTTGGTGGCGGTTTTTCTAAAATGTCAGATATGTGTGCAAGCAACTCGCCGTCCAGCGCTCCGACGACAAGGTGATACTTAAAGTCGTCGTTTATAATTTGTGCAGTAACAAAACGTGATTCCAGTTGGAAAAACCACATTTTTGGGTTCTGAATCCAAAAAGTTGGCGTTTTGAAATGACCGAACACGTGTTGTAAATCACTTTTCGGATAGGAAATTTCATCGGCGGCCATAGTTATGAAGTGTAGCACAAAAGAAAAATCGAGGTCACCACTTATAGCGTTCTGTTATTAATAAGATTTATTATAACGCACTATATAAAATACAAATATGAAATATATAACTAAAATATATACTAATAATTGACACCATAGAGAACATAACCTTTTTCTCTTACCAGGGAGGATCAATAGGTGATATGTGGTATCACGCTACAAACTAATAATAAACCTCTTCTTAAAGCATTAGAGATTAAAAGTTAAAAATTTGTACTTAATAAAAAACTATTTTTTAATGCTTTGATTTTAGGAGTACTTAAAATAGAATAATTTATATATTGATGGAGCCTCTCATAGAATTTTAAGAATTCAGCCAAAAGCTCACATAAGAACTTCAATAGTTATTTAATATTTAATTACATTTTATTTAAAAAGTATAAAATTATTATAAGGCACTTAATAATTATTAATAATTAAATACATACAACTGAGCAAAATGTCNTCACATAAGAACTTCAATAGTTATTTAATATTTAATTACATTTTATTTAAAAAGTATAAAATTATTATAAGGCACTTAATAATACAACTGAGCAAAATGTTAAAATGTTCACATACTTGTGGTAAGTTATACATTAAGTATAAATTATAAACTTAGACAAAATAATTCTCATTTCAAATTAAAGTAAAAAATAAATGCAAACAGTTAAAAAACGACATTGAGTAAAAAACAGTTAAGTAAATGGCACTTATTAAGTCTTAACATTTGATCCATGGCATTTTTTTTGGTAAATTATAATATGTTTTATCTAATTGATTTTCAGCATATCTCTCTGCAGTCATTTTCATACGTCTTACAGCAATTACACAAATAACTAAAATTCTAAAAAAAAAAATTACTAAGTAAAACCATATTTATCTAAATGATATTTAAACTTACTTAAACTTAGACATTTTACGTTTACCACATATTTTTTGCATTGTACTTTTAAGCAGGCCATCTTCAATTTCAGGGATAATGAGTCTTAATAACTTGTCTTTACCACCCGCTAGTTTTACTAAATACATTTTTTGCCATACTAAAGAATAATAATGTGATTCTAAGTGAAAATTATGTCGATTAGAAACAGCAGACTGTAAATAAGAGATATTTTTTTGAAATCTAAGAATTAAGTTTACAGAAAATCATTATTTACTTTTTCGCTCAATTTATTATTTAATTCTTTAGCATAGCTTTGCAAATCTATCACTTGCTTTTGTAATGTTTTCTAAAAATAAAGTAATAATAAAAATTAGTCAATTTTTTTAATATATTAAAATATTTTCTAACCTTTGTTTTACAGAGATCAATATTATCTTCTAATACTTTTTTTATATTTTGACTTGTTATCATTGATTTAACTTCTTCTATATATGCTTTAAGTTTGTTGTATTTTTCACGGTATTCGATTACCTTGCTTGTTAATTTTGCATTTTCTACCTCCAAATTTATCTAGAATTTTTTTTAAATATTATAATGAAGCTATAAATGAAAATCTATAGTAAAATGTTGTTATTACAATTAAACTAGATTGTCTTTGTTTTAATTCTTCTGGAAGTGTAAAATCCTTAATGTCACTTTTTAACTTATCTTTGTCATATTCAGTGAGGAAAAGCTTGTTTTGCATTTCATACATTTTATTTTGTAAGTGTTGAAATTCAGCATCCAAACTTTCCAGCTATAAAATGTTTGGTATGTTTAGTAAATTTATTAATAACTCACAAAGCTACTTAAGAATAAGTATTTAAAGAATGCATAAAAAATGTTATATTAAAAATAATATATATTTGATTATTTACAGGTTATATTAACTGGTCACTAATAAAGAATAATTTGTTTAATGCTAGTTAATAAATTTCTCTTAAAAGATTAATTTTTTTTAAGGAAACTATTTTTGGTATTCTTAAGTTTCATATTTATCTTTTTTTTTTAAGTACAACTAAATATTTAATTAATTTATTGAAAAGAAAATAATCAATAACTTCTTTTGGATTAGTACTTCAAAAATGTATTAACAATTTTATATCTACACAGGAGAAGTTGGGTCAAGAAATTTCTAATGATAATTATAGTTATACTTGTACATCTCATTTCCTCCATAAATTAAAATTTTTAAATACACATTTATTTATCAAGGGGTGAATACTATAAATAGATAACTGTTATCATTTCTTAACAATGCAATAGACGTTCGTAAGAGCATAGGTAAATAATCAATTTATAACGTTCACACCTAATATACATAAATGCTCATTTTTTCATGATCAATTATATAATTTGTTGAGGACAGACAAGGTGATGTAGTTCAATTTTGTTGTTATATATTGCATTCAGGAACAATTAATTTATAAAAAGATAATTTTTTATTTTAGTGCTAAGATTTAAATTTATAGGTCATTTAAGTTGTACATGGATTATTATTTAAGGATATCTATATATTGTGTCTGAACTTTACTTAAAACACTCAAAATCTACAACATTTGAATTGCTTAACATGTCCAATGCACTTAAAAATTTTTTTTAAAATGTATTGTATGTAAGAATAAACTCAAATTAATAATAGTTTTATTTATTTATTCTCCATTTGAAAATAAAAATTTAGAAAATAAAATTATTGTATAATGAGTTTATTTGATTACATATACTGGAAGATAAAATAATATCTATACTTAATTGAAAACATATTCATTTAAAAAAATATTTGTACACCACATTATCATAATTCATTTGTATATTATTTTGATACCTTATTTTGAATGTTACGATTTTCATATAAGGAATCATTATATTTTTTTTGCAACTCAATTACTTCTTTTTCTGTTTTTTCTAATTGTATTTGTAGTTCAATCTAAAATAAAAAAATGTATACATTTTCCAATAATATTATATTAATAAAAATATAATTTTACATCAGTATCCTGGATTCTACTTAATTTTAAAGTTTCATAGTCTTTTGAAATTTCATGGTATTTCTGTTCATATTGTTTAAGTTGTTTTTGAAGTTCTAAAACCTAAAAATAAAATAAAATTGATATTTTAAACAAATAAAAAATATTAGATCAATATAAAATATACCTGTAGACAATATATGAGTTGATTAGAATACAAGAAGTATAAGTGACATTAAAAAACTATTTGAAATAGAAGTTTAATCAAACTGATATAAGTAGTTTCAATTTATAAAAAAATTGCATAAAATTCATGATAAACATTTTTTATTTACATGGAATTATAGAAAATAAAAACTGTCATTTATATACCTATGTATCTAAATGCCTCATATAAAAAGTTAAAAAGAATTTCATGTTTAAAAAAAAATATTTATATATAAATACCTTCAATTTAAAAACTTGATTATCTTGTTCAGCTCGAGTCTTTTGATCTAATAGAACTTCTTCTGCACTTTCTAATTGTTGTTTAAAGTGTCCAATAGCTAAATTCTGGCTTTCTAATTGTTTCTAAATATAATAAATTAAATTTATGAAACTTTTATTTTTTAATACTATAAACATTTTATATTTATGTCCACGATGTAAATCAATGAAAACTTATAAAAAAACGGTTAAAGAATATTATTAAAAATAAGAATAAAGTTTGAATGAAAATTTTTAAATAAAGCTTATTTTAAAAAAAAAAGATTAAAATATTTAAAAACATACTTTTATTAAAATATTTAACTCAACTATTATTTAAAAAATGAATTATATGAATTCTAGAATTTATATTCTAATTTTAAATTCATAATATACAGAATAAAAGCCTGTCTTTTATTTTTCTTAGGCAGCCATATTAAAATGTAGTGAGATTATTTAAAAATTATATTAATATTTAAATNCATAATATACAGAATAAAAGCCTGTCTTTTATTTTTCTTAGGCAGCCATATTAAAATGTAGTGAGATTATTTAAAAATTATATTAATATTAAAAATAAAAATACCATTAAAACACTGTTCTTATTTTCACTAGATATAAGTTCATCAATTTTTCTGTAGGCTTCTGCTAATTTTTGATCCATTTCTTCCTTAATGTCTAAAATTCTATTTAATTCACTGTCTAATTTTTCATTTAAATCAATAGTTTCACTTAACTCTTGTTCCAAAATTTTAAATTTATTCATAACATCTCTTAATTGTTGATTCAATTTCTAAAATAATAAAATAATTTTTTTTTAATTTTTTGATTGGTTGATAACAATTTTAAGACAAATATTCATTGAATTACAGTTATTTTAACACATAGAGTGAGTATGTAGTGAAGGTAGGTGTTTACTGATGGATGGTTAGTCCTCCCGTGTTACATACTCATATTATGTATTAAAAACTTTGTAACTCAATAAGTATTTATTCTAAAAACATTATCAAACAATCAACATTTTTTGTAAGAAAAGAGCTAAAATAATGTTATTTCAAAGTTTTGAAAAAATAAAAACAAAATTAAGTTATGTATTTTTTCATTTTAGTGATAAATAATAAAAAAATATTTTTTGAATGTATACATATAAGTTATATTAACTAATATATATAACATACCTCAATAATGTGATTTTCCTCTTTATTTGTTTTTTCATCATTTATTTTACTTTCTAAATCTTTGATATAGCTTTCCATTTTTATAATATTGATTTTTAAATCTGCATTAAGATTTATTTCAACAAGTACTTTTTTACTAATGTCCAGAGATTCATGTAATAAAAAAAAGTTTGTTAATTATAATGTAAATTATTCATAAAATTTATATATAATATTTATATTTTTAGATTTTAATTAAACTTAATAGTACAATTTCTTCAGATAAATGATACATTAGAAACTCGGCTAAAATAAGTGAGAGACATGATTAATTTCATACATATTTTTAATTATTAAAAAATATAATAAATTTGTCTTAAATTTTTTAATATTAAATAAAATAAATATTTTTAACCTTAAAAATTTTAAAAATGTTTTCTATTATTTTTTTAATTTAATATTAAATTTTAATGAGACTTAATATTCTAAGTTAAATACAATTTTATCTTACGACAGTTCAGCTATTTTTTCTTCTTGATATTTTTTTAGATGATTAATTTCTACTTCATTATTTTCTATTTCATGTTTNTATTTCTTTATCTTCTATTTCATGTTGTAACTCGTTGTTTTTTTTACGTTCGTACTCTAGATTTTTTTCAAGTACTGTCATTGAATTATTTACCTAAAAGTTAAGGTTAATAAAAATTGAGATTATAATTTTAATAAGAGATATTTATCATGAATTACCAAATCTGGAGAAGTTTTATCAGAATCTAGATCAGAAAATGTTGTATTTGTTATTTCATCTAAAAATTAAATAAGTATCAATAATCTCATTATACAGTGCAATTATTATTTTTAATTCATAAATATTATTGGCTTCTTACAATCTTTATTTTTTAAATGAGCCATTAATAATTTATGATCTTCTGTGTGACTTGTTAAATCTTCAATTTGTTTTAAAAAGTCCATATTCATCTTGTGTTTTTGTTCATGTGTCTCTGCTAGTAAATTACGATAACCTTGTAATTCATTTTCATGCAATTCTTCAACTTTTTTTAGTTCATTTTTTGTATGTATATTGTTCAACTTTAAATCTTCAATTTTTTCTTTTAGTTTAATATTTTCATTTTTTAGTTGTTCATACTCATAATTTAATTTTTCTATTTTTTCACTTAATTCTATTTTAAAGTTTTCAGTTTTTAACAATTCATTTTTTAGATTAGTATTCTCTTCTTTTAAGGATTTTGTATGTTCCAAAATTTTTTGGTCCTCTTTTAAGATATTATATTCATTTAAAAGTTCATTGTTGATACTTTCTAAACACTCAATTTTTTCAGACTGTATTTTATTATATTCTTTAAAAGACTCAAGTTTTTTTTCTAAAGTATTTTTCATATATTCTAATGGCTGAATTTCAGCTCTTAATTTTACACCTAAAGTTTCAAGTTCTTTTAATGTTTCTTGTTTTTTTTCAATTTCTGACAATGCATTATACAATTTATTAGTTAACACATTTTCATTTTCTTTTAGGCTTTCAATATGTTGCTCTAATGAGGTCTTGTCTGAGTATAATAATTTAATGTCTTTTTCCAAAGTTTTAATCCGATTTTCCATAAATTCAGTATCTTTTTCCATCACTTTTATTACAGCATTTTTTTCTTCTAGTTCCATTTTAGTATTGGTTAAAAGTAATTTCATATCATCCTGAAAATATAATAAGTATAATAATAATTTTTATTATTAAAAAAATGTAATTCATACATTCATTGTTGTGTAAATATTAGTGCGATCTTTGAGTTGAGGAGATGGAAAACTGAAATTTATTATTGATGGTTCTTGAATAGAAACATTTTGATGTTGATGAGAAAATTGTAATAATGCTAATGTATTAGAGTCATTAGGTATTGCACGCCTCATTTGTTCATTTTCACTTGATTGTGAATCAGTCATACTTTTTGAAAAATTAGGATTTACTAAGATTTCAACATTTTCATCCTAAAAAAATTAACACTGATAAATTTAAAAGAAAAAAAAAATCTAGGATTTAAACATTATACCTGTTCCTTAGATTGAAAATCATGTATTTTATCTTCTAAAATCTTTATTTGAGATATTTTACTTGCAGTTTCAAGCTTAACAAATAAATAAATACTGTTAAGAAATACAGCTACATGATTTTTAATTACACGTTTAATGTAAGGTTTCATTTTAAATAATTTACCTGTAAGTTCATATTTTCTTCAACAAGTTTTACAACTTTTGACTCTAAGCTTTTTATTGTATTTGGATCAATGTTTTCTTTTTCTACCAGTTTGGATTCATAAGTTGAAAGCATATTTTTAAGATGGTTTGTCAAATCATTTAATTTAGTGATCTAAAGTTAATGTAAATTAATTAATGCACAAGAATACAAATAACAATTTTGAGTATACCTCATTATTTTTATCTTCTATTGCTAATGTACATTGCTTATGTTCTGCTGTTAATTTAGCTATAGTATCGTGTAATAATGAAGTGGCTGAATCTACATCACTATTTTTAATTAATCTTAGATCATCAATTTTCATTTTAGCAGTTGTTAATTGATCATTTTTTTCTGCTAATCTAGTTCTCAGAATATTTACTTCAGATTCTAAATCCTATCATTTTTATTTAATTTATAATAATAATAATTTGTTATAGTAACTTCAAACAAATTTATAAGAAGCTTACTTTTATTTGTTTGTTAAGCTGCTTAGTTGATAAATTTTGATCAGATTCGTGTTTTAAAATAGCTTCTTCAGATTTGAAAAGTCTGTTTAAACGTTCTTGTATTCTCATAAAAACATCATCTAATGAGGCAACTATCCGATTTGGAGAACTATTTTTTTCTAAGCTTATATTATTGCGTAATTCACATCGTTCACTAAAAAATATTATTTTTAAATAATTGAGAAAATCAATTCATATGAATTGATGGTAAAATTTTGATTTAGGTTAATTTTTATAATTATTATTATATATATATATATACAGGGTGGAACGGATCTAACTGACAATTCATATAACTGATGATCTACATAACATTTTATACTTTTTTTTTTTTTAATCAATGTTTACAATATAAAACTATATTTGTTTTATGTTATTTTTCGCAAAAATTATTTTAAAAATAAATTTTTTTTTAAGATTTTAAGATTTATATAGAAAAGTTTTAAAGAAAAATTTTGATACCAAAAATTCTTATCATAATTCAGTAGTTAAGTTTATACAGCATTTTGAAATTTGTTAAATTTTGATTTTTTATACAATTTTCCTATGGTATCAAATGTCAGTCCATATTATGTAAAGTACAGAAGTAAACACTTATTACATTATTTACTGGTAACAGTAAACGATATCTTTTCCATGAAAATTATTAACAGTTGAATAAGTATTTGTAGTCAACATGAAAAAACAATTAGTTATATAATTCAGATTATTAAAAAAAAATATAGAACACATTGTCTAAAACATGTTGAATTTTTAATTAAATAAGTTCATATATCATAAATTGAAACGTGAATAATAGTGAATAAGTGCATTTATTATCAAATCTCCTAACAAGGAATATTTTATAATAATATGATTACAATGATAGAATTACGCAAATTAATAATTGTTATCACTTTTAACTTGGCTAACCATGGAACACTCGTAGTTGACATAGATAATGTTTCTAACTTTTGTAATAAAAATTAGAGATAATCATTTCTGTATAAAGGGCGTTAAACGTTATTATTATCTATGGAAAAGAATTTGTGTACTGTTACCAGTAAATAATGTAATAAGTATTTACTTCTGTACTTTACATAATATGGACTGACATTTGATACCAAAGGAAAATTGTATAAAAAATCAAAATTTAACAAATTTTAAAATACTGTATAAACGTAACTATTGAATTAAAATAAGAATTTTTTATATCAAAATTTTTCTTTATCTATAAAATGGCTATCTTAAAATCTTAAAAAAAAATTTATTTTTAAAATATTTTTTGCGAAAAATAACATAAAACATATTTTAAATATAGTTTTATATTGTAAAAATTGATTAAAAAAAAAAAGTAAAAATGTTATGCAGATCATCAGTTATATGAATTGTCAGTTAGATCCATTCCACCTGTATATAATGTTTAATTATATATTAAATAATTAAAAAAATAAAATTTATTTAGACTAATGAAATTTGAAAAAGACTAATATTGTTTTAAAGATCATTATTTTTTTAAACTTATCCATAAATTCATTAGCAATAAAAAGAAAAGATAATTTTCAAATATAATTGCTCAAAAATGTTTTCTTACGCAACAGATATATCTTCAGAAGCAGGCGAATTACATTCATCAGTCACCCAGTACAAGTCTAGTTCTTTAATACGTTTAGAAACTGATTTCTCTAAATCTTTAAGCTAATGAAACAATATAAACATTAATAAAATTATAATTATAAAGATATTATGTTAAGTAAAAAATTGTATATACTTGTATTCTTATATTATTAATAATTATTTCAGTATCAATAAATTCAGAAGTATCAGTTTGATTCTGTTCTTCAAATAAGCTTCTTAACCGATTAAGCTAGTAAAACAATAAGTTAATTAATTAAAGTATTTTTGAGATTTGATGTTTTTTGCTACATTTAATTTTGATGATAATTTAAAAATATCAATATATAATATGTTAAACATAAATTAAATAAAAAATATTAATATTCAATTATTGTTACAAACTTCTAAAAATTATTGTAAAATCTAAACCTATTATTTATTTAAAAAATATACTGACTTCTTGTAGCATATCTTGTTGGTTAGATTGTTCTTCCTGTATTATATTAGTAAGCGACTCAATATAATTTTTATCAGATATTTCATTTTTAACTAATGTATCTATTCTATCTTCTAAACTAAAAATAGTTTCTTTCAATGATTTTATTTCTTTTTCAGCTGACTTTAAAAGTTCTTCTATTTTTTTATGTTTAGTTTTTAAATCTATATATCTTTCTTCAGCTTCATGATGTTCATTCACAAGCATTTCAGTCTAAAAAAATTTCAATGTAATATAAAAGAAGATTAATTAATAAAAAAAAAGAAAAGCTATATTACATGAGTTTTTAAATTTTCTGATCCTAATGATTCTCGTTCTTTATCTTTTAGCTGCTCTCTTAATTTTTTTGTTTCGATATCATATTGTTCTCTTTCGTATTCACGCTCGAGTGTTTGATCTTTAAGAAATGTGTTAAGTGATTGCAATCTATTATCTGCTGTAGACAGCTAAAAATAAATAATGATTATGGTATATTTTTAAAACAATACTTTTTTTAAATAAATAATTGATATAAAATATAAACCTGTTGAATTAGTTCTTCTTTTTCATTTTTTAATTCATCTATCATTTTGCCACACTCGGCAAAATATTGTTCAAGTACAGACTGTAATGGTGACCAGTTTTCACAATTTTTGATTATTTCTTGAACTGGAAAGTTATTAAATTAAATAAGAGTTAAAATAAATAAAAATATACATCAAAGAATATTTATAATTTATCTTGCAAAAATAATAAAATTGTATTAGAAATAATGTATGTAACCCATACCTTTTTTGTACAACATTAATTTACAGTATCCCTGTAAAGTAGTGCTAATTCATACCTTTTTGATATAATGATATTAAATTGTTATTTTCAATAATATCATTGCATATCTTATTTGAGCTAATAGAAGACACTTCACTATCAAGCTGTTTTTTCATTGTGTCATTTTCGTGCTCAAGTTCTGAATATTTTATTAATAATTGCTCATAGTCAAACTTTTGTTTATTTAACTCCTAAAAATATATAGTATATAATACACGTAATACATTTTTAGAGGAATTAATCAAACAAAATTATGTGAAATAACTTACTGTAATATAATATTGGAGTTTGTTTTCAATAAATGATTTTTGACAAATAATTTCAGAATTGGGACAGAGTACTTTAGGTTCTTTAATAGAAAATTCTGAAATTAAAATTTGTTTAATATATTATAATTAGTTATAGAAAAAAAAATAGTACCTGATAAAGTTGTAGTTTCTTCTTTTAGTTTTTCTAGACATGCATTCAATTCAGATCTCACCTGACTAGAAGTATCAACTGTTGGCTCAATATTTGTAAAATCAGCTAATATTGTGTTTTCATCAATTAATGAAACAATTTCTTCAATATTTGGAACAAAATGTACTCTTCGTGGACTTTTTGATTCATTTTCAGCAATACGAAACTCACTTGACGAATTGATATCACAATTATCACCTGAACCACTTTTAGTTATTCCACCACATTTCATATCATTTATATGCTCAACTATAGAATTATTTAATTCTTCTTGTTGATCAATAAGAAATGCACAAAGATATTTTGTAAGCTGTCGAAGAGTCATTGCAACTGAACGTAAATCATCCCTGCAATATTTTTATTCTATGAATTTATTTAATGAAATGAATAACTTTAGCTTTTAAACATAAGCAGAGAATTATTTTGAATGAATTTTCTGAATTATTGCCAAGTATTAGTAAAAATAAAATTATATTGCCTCTCATAACATATTATAAGTAGCATAATGTATACATATAAAAGAGTTTACCTTTCTTGAATAATATCTTCAAGATCTTTAATATTTGTATCGATACTATCTTGAGATAGTACCTGAAATAAAAAATATAGATTAATATCCAAGAAAGTAAGCATATAGTATTTAAACTAACATAATCAGAAGTTTCAATATCCGTATCCTGTATGCTAACATCTCTATAATTTTTTATGTCTATTGAATCTAAGGATACTGGTTTTTCTACATCATTAAATGAAGAATTAATTATAGTCTAAAAACATAAAATATCTTGTTAGAACAGATTAAATATTAATTTTTTTAAAGTAATATTACTTTTTTTAATTTGTATATTTCATTAATCAAATACGAAACAATTTTTTTGTGTTTAGCTTGTGTTTTTGTAATGTCTTCTTCAATACGTTTAGTTAACATATCTAGGTCACAATCTTTAAAACCATTTACATGACTTTCAAATTGATTTCTAAGTTCTTCAATTTCCTGTTCATGAATTTCTTTTATCTTTTTCAATTCTTTTTGATATTCAGATCTAAGATTTTGTTTCAATTTAGAGATTTCTATGTTATTTTCTGTAAATATTCGTCTTATTTCATCACGATGTCTTTTTTCAATTTCATCTAGTTCAGTTCTATGCTTTTCACAAATACGTTCAAGTTCTTTATGATATATTTCATGTGTTGAGTTAACTTCCATGATTAATATTTAATGAAAATTCTAAGTTTTTATTGTTTAATTTTTTCAATGAAGTTTATTAAAGTTAATAGTTAGTCACTATGGCAACATAATAAAAATAACACATTTATTTTCACAATACTTCTTTAGATATAAAAGACTAAATAAGATGATATATCTGATTTCTCGAAGTTTATTAAATGTAAATCCAATATTTCTCGATTATAATTAATAGTAAAGGTATTAATATAAAATAATTTACTACGCATTAATAAAATATATAACTGAATATAAGCTAAAACACAACTATTATAAATAAAATATTTAAATTAACACAAAATAATCATAAATATGAATAAATATTTTAGAATATCAAAATTTTAATTTTAATATTTCAACCACATTAGGAACCAAGTCAAGCCTTTACAATTGAATACTTTTAAATCTACCAGTTATTTTTAAAATGCGCATTATAATATCATAATTCAAATTCTTTATCATTGTAATCAAAACAATATTTTAACTGACTATCATGGTATAAACTATTATAGTCATGGAACTAAAATAATTATTGTTATATTTTGAATTTTTTCTGTGAATTTACTTTTAACTATAGACCGTAACTTATACCAAAAATTATGTGGATTTAACTACCTTGTTATATGATATTTAATTGTAGGTATATAAAAATTGTTTATTTTATTTATACTTTTTTTTAGTGTGAATAAAAATAAATAAATATATACCCACAATTAAATATTATATAACAAGGTGGTTAGTATGAATAAAATAAAAATAATAATAAAGTAATTGTATTAATATGAAATTACTTTTAGCTTCGATGCGAAGCGGAGAAGGTATTAATTTTACTATGATGTGTTTTTTTTTTTTTTTTTTTTTTTTTTTTTTTG